ATTGTTTCAGAAGGCAAAACTAATAATTTACACTCAGGAAATTTCAAATTTTAAGCTTACTTTTTTGTGATAGTCTTCTGTTACACATAATGTAAAAGATAGCTTTCAGTTTCTGCCTCGTGTTTATGTTTGTGTGTCTGACCTTATCTTTTCCCCTGGAAGAGAAGATCTGTCATGTTTGTATCCATGTCTGTAATTTAAATTTATAGTCTTTAAATTTTGAAAGCCTGGAATATTGAAATTTAGTATTTTGCAATGAAACTTAACAAGTTAGCCAATGTCTGCAAAACAAGGAAAAATATCTATTTCATAGTGCATGGACACTGAAATGCAATGAAATTGCACAAGGTGTGTGAATCAATCTGCATAAATATTTACTGTTTTAATGAACTCTGAATTTATGGGTGTGCATATTGAAATGAGGTAATTATTTTAAATAGCACCTACGTGTTTTTAGCTAGAGAGGTTGTGAAATTGCATTTCCTTAAATCAACCCCATGTTTGTTTTTGTATGGGTTGAGTGCACACCACAGGCTGCCAGAGGGCAGAGGCAGCAGCAAAGAAGCAAATACCAATCTTGTCTTTCCATTCTGCAGTTGTGGGGTGGGGAAGGCAGGGAGATGAATTTCACACCAATGTGAATAATTGTTTTGTAAAGTGGATTATTTGAATTTCACTATCTGCAGCTTGTGAAGAGTAGGCTGTACCATGGAAATGTAGACTGAGAGAGACCTCTGGAGGTCTTCTAGTCCAAACTCCTGCTCAAACCAGTGCTAACTTCTAAGCTGAATAAGATTATCCAGCCACTTGGTTAAAAAAACACTGAAAATCACCAGGGATGGACATTCCACAGCCTCTCTCACTTTTATTATGAAGTATATTTCTTTATAGCTGACCAGAAGTTCCTTTACTGCAATTTCAGGCTACTATCCCCTGTTCTTTCACAGTGCACCTCCAGAAGAGGTCTAGCTCTGCAAGCCACAGTTAGGCACAGAAGACAAGAGTTAGCCCTCCCCTTTTGCAAGCACAATAAAGTCTGTTCCTCTACTGGACTTTCCCATTTTGAATATATTTCTTGAGTGATTTGTGGGGCTCAAAAGTAGTCTTGTCATTCCAGATATTTCCTCGTGATGCTGAGCAGAAAAAAAAATAAGCACTTCCTTTGCCTTCTGGCTAAGCTATTACTAATGCAGCTGCGTATGTGGTTTGTCTGCATTGCTGCAAGGAGATACTGCTGACTCATGTTCAGCTTCAGATCATTTCCTAGTGAGCAGCAATACAGAAAGACAGTTCCCAGCCTATTGGAATGCATGAGCTTATTCCCTCCCACATACAGGGGTATATTTGTCTCAGATACAAGAAAACTTCTGGTTATTTTGGCTTAAGTAGATTCACAGTTAAATTTCCATCTTTGAGAAAGAAAAAAAGCCATCAAAACTTAAACTGATGTCATTATAAATATAAATTTACTTTCTATTGAGCATTTCATGCTTATTATAATTACATCATAGCAAAGATATTTTTGCACAAAAAGGCATTCATAACACTTGATTTAGGCTATGTGGCCCTGCAATAAAAAGAGCCCTTGGAGTGTGCAACTTTGAACAGCAAACAGACTATAAATACTTAGAAATATGCACCATGCAGATGGAAATGTACCATGGCTTAAGTATGCTATTTTATGTAAATAATTAATCCTTCCCAAGAGTTCTACAGGTGCCATAAAATTAATTCACTGTAGCACTATTACAAGGGCTTAATTAATTAATTTACTGTCACCACAGTTATCAGGAAAAGAATATGAATATCAGCTGGATATTTTTTAAACTAAACATAATCTCACGTGGTTGTTTTCAAAAGTTGGCGATAGCCAGATCCAAGCATGTACATTCTTGTATCTCCTCTGCTTATATACCAGACTTCCTCCTTCTATTATGTTTCTTGTCTGAATCCTATTATGCAGCCTCCTAGACAGCATCAATAGAAAGCTGTGCTGCTTGGGATTCATACTGACATTGTTATCCAGTAATTGAAGTAGGGATCAAAAAATCTTCTATATGTGGGTTTTTCATATTACTTACCATCATCTATTTATCTCAGCAGTGAATTTATCATGACTGGACTGACATATCATTTGATGAAAATTAATACAGTAGCATTTGTTCTTTCAGATAAGGACATGCTAATAGATAGATGAAAAAAACTAAGTTTCCTTTAAATGTATGACAGTTTTTCACCCAGACATTTAAAAACAGATGAGGGCCAAATTTTACCCTAATTATGATCTTGCTGTATGATAATTTCAACAAGGTCACAAGACTTTCCTCTGTGTGTGTGGAGGGGAAACTGTTCTCATATAGAATATTAATCCTGAAAGAAATAAGCATTCTATTTACACATATAGAAGAATTTCAAGTCTTCCAGGAAATCTGTTTGAAAACTATTTACAGTATTAGTATGCAAATTATATACTACTACACACTAAATGGGAATCTTGCAGCAGAGCATTCTGACAGGCATCTCACTATTTGAACTATGGTAGTCCAGTTAAAAAAACAACACAAAAACAAAACACAGCTGGATATAATTGTATCCAAACACATACTTATTATGTTAATGGGGGTATACAAATAAAATGAAGTGTTGTCCAGCAAGGGTTTTCCCACAAAGATTCTGAGTTATTTTAGCAAAATGTTCAAATAATGCAAGCTTTTGTGTTTATTTTAATTGAAAAGATGTTTGATATTTATTCCTAAATATTGACAGATGAAGTGTGGCAGCTCCAGAGAAGCAATAAATTCCATCTCATATTAAAAATAATTGTAATAAAATACTTCAGTTGAGAAGAAAACATAAATTGTGGCCCCAGTTACATTATGTACTTTCAGTTATATAGTATAAATCAAATTATGAGAGTGGTATTGTATAGAGGTAGTGATATATGTCCTAAACTCCTATCATTACCTGAGGCTGTCAGAGTAGTCGATAGTCCCTTTAGCTGCCTTCCCTTTTACCCTAAAGCTTCCTGATACTTCCTGGCCTCTACTGGAGGAGCACCTCCTCCTGCTGGTGCTCTCCTGTCAGGTTCTCCTTAGTCACACCTTGGTCAAACTTCTGCCCTTAGAACCTCTCCTGAGTGCCCCTGCTGAAGTATGCCATATCAGGTAATAAACAGCCAGGTTTCAGTAAGAATCCACTAGGTGCTGTAGTAGGTCAGTACTGGGTTGGGTTTCCTTGCAACTAATAAAAGCTTTGCCCTTATTTAATTTCTAAAAATCTGCCAGAATTTCTTGTGTCCTTTGCATCATCCTGCAAAATTCTGGCATGTAAGTTACACAGGCAGGGTGCAAGATCTGTCTGTACCTATTTACTGCTGGTAGGCTCGAAATCTTTAAAAATAAGAGGCTTCCGATGAGGTTTGTTTGTTGTTTGTTGGTTTTTTTGTTTGTTTTTTTTTTCCCTCTCCGTTTTTAGGATATGCTTTTAACAAACCGTAACTGAAAACTGAACAAATAACAGTTTGTGCCTTATGTAAGTGTGCCTGCTATTCAAGTTGTTACATTCAAAGGCTGTAGATGTTCTTAAAGCCCTTCTTCTTCACTGCCAGCTGCTGCTGTAATCCTAAAGTAGATGCGCTTGTTGTTTTTTTTAAACTTTATATCTCAGTATACTGTCCTGGGAAATTGCTTTCTACCTTTAAATTGACCATCATGCAGAATTTTCTATTTTTCAGCCTGTCTTTTTCTTTGAGAGTTGTAGGTTACTCTGACTTTAAAGACTCCCATTTTCATTCAGAAGCACAAAGGATACCTTCACAAATGTAGCTCGATAGGAGTGTCAGATGCAGTCTTGAGAATATTATCTAAGCACCTATTTTTAATTTTAGCCATGAGGAATTGTTTATACTGCAAATTAAATATAATCAAATGCACATTAATTTATTACTTTAAAATAAAAACTTATTGATTTAAAAATATACTTGGTTAAAAAATTCAAAACTCAGTCTATCTCGAGTATTTTCCAAAGGCAAAGTACCATTGCTCAGTTTAATGAAATCTATTTGTTTCTTGGCTCTATTTATATAAGAAATTTTTTAAATTTACAGCCATGTCAAGCATTTTACATGATGATAAGAAGAAAGAGGTTGTATCATTAGTGTGATAATAAGTCTAGCTAGCTTGTTGAGCAAGTAAATTTGATATCTAAGTACTTCCATTAAAAAAAAAAAACCAACAATCTACTTTCACTAAAAACCTATACTTTCAGCTCTAAGTCTCAAATGTAATCCCTCTAAAATCAATAGGAAAAACTCATTATTAGTTGTTTCCAGCAATACATGAAGAATAGATTTATGCACAGATTTATACACTTGGGGGAAGTGTCAAAGGAAGATGAATTAGGAGAAACTAGGGGACTTGTGTACTTTGGGATGCTACAGAGTTTTCAATCACTGAAAGCCGAATCAAATGTGTTGAGAGTCATTTTGTTTAGGCTTCTGGTTAGGCTGCAGAAGCCTGTTTTGTTGTTTTGGTTTGGGTTTTTCTCTTTCTTTTTTGAAGAAACAAATCCCATTTTCTTTTAAAAGAAATCATCTTTAAAAATTGACCCAAAATCAGGTGCTCCTGAAGGGAGCCTTAGGTTCACAGCTGAGGTGAGTATTGCAGAATTCTGTTTATTTTGTCTAATTAGGTCAACTGTGCTACTTATAGGGATATCTGTAATGCAATGTATGGCTTCCTTGGCAAAACCAAAGAAGAAACGTGATTGACTTCTCTTGAGAATTTATTTTGTTTCAAATTCGCGTTGTCATACATTCTAAGCATGTGGTCTTCAGTGCCTCATTCCATAGAGACTCTACAGGGACCACTGCAAAAGGACATCAAGTTATTATCTCTGTTTATTTATTTTTTAGTCTTACACACTGGAGTATCTCAATGAAAATTATATGGAATTCCTTCACAGTTTTAGTCTTCTGCTTTCCTTTCTTTTTCTTTTAATAGCCTGGATGTGTAAACACTACTGAAGTGGATATAAAAAAATCTTCAAGAATGAGAAATCCACATAAAACAAGAAAGGTAAGTACTGTTATTATATCAAAAGCAGGAGGTGGAGGAAATCTATAGCATGAAGTTCCATAGTTTCTTAAAGAATTTTTTTTCTTACAGCTGCAAGGAGCAAATGCATGAACGTATGTTAATATTTCATAAGCTCTTAGTTGCGTTAGTATTAACAAATTTGTTAATTCTAAGCAAATGCTATCACATAAGACTTTGGAGAAATATACAAAGATTTTGAAAATAAAATTCATTTTTGCATGCTTCATTCATGTTGTTTAGCACATTGAATAAAACATGTTAAAATGTTTCTGTCAGAAATTAAGGAAAAATAAATTAAAAATTCAGCATAATAGTTCTTGTCCTGCTCTTAATGAAAAGGGTGTCTCTCTTTGACAATTATGCCCAAAATGGTTGACCAGAAATAGTGGAGGAAATTCGTTTCATCTAAATTAGGATCCAGACATGATCAGTGTAACTTTTTTAGGGATATATAGATGGATTGTCTCAAAACTTTCTTTTTAAATCCTTTGCTCCATAGAAACGTAGATTGACTCCCACTTGAAAGTACTTCCTTCGAGGTATATTTTCATGTTGACCCATAGAAAAGTCTGTTTTAAAAAAGAAAGTAGATTTAGAGAAAGTTTTAGTTTGCCTTATTTATGGTGGTGAAAGGTCCAGATTATTGTATTTACCAGGCAGTAATTGCAAATTTGAGAGTCATCCAAATAGTCTGTGCAATAGTCTACCTTTCAGGGTACTCCTACTACGAGTCATCTCCACTTACTGTAATAGCATCTCTCAGTGTCACCCCTCATGCTTACTATGCTGTTAATATAGAGATATAATAAAAGTACATCCTTTGTTCTATGGCATTTTGAAATTGTGGGAATTTGGGAGTATTTGTTTTACACCTAACTATAGATGCACAGTTTTATCTGAGGGCATGGTTTATTGCAGTTTCTTTAAAAAAAGATGATATTGGCTAACATCTTGAGCACAATTTACTAAAGCATCACAGCTACTATGAATATTTGTAGAAAGCGTTGTCTGAAAGCAACTATCATTGTTCCATATTTTTTGCATAGTCTGTCTATGGCTTACAAAATGACATTCGAAGTCACAGCCCTACCCACACGCCAGTACCAGAGACTAAGCCACCCACAGAAGATGAACTACACCAAGAGGTTTGAAACATAACTACAAACTTGTACTTTTAAATGAACTTTCTAGGAAAGTAGGTATTAAACCAAAAATTATTTTAACTGGGAAGTTGTTCAAAACAGCTCTAGCAAACATTTAATAAACCTTTTCTTTGTTTCAAGACATGTGGATTTAGGCACGTAACTTCATTAAAACTAATGAGACAAAATTTGACATTTTTTGTGTCTTGCATTAAGCATCTAAAGGCAGTGAGCAGCAGGCCAGTAAGTGGGTTCTTTGTATAGCTAAGCCCATTAGCCCCTTCAGCAGTAGACAGCTTGCTCTTCCTTTCGACACTAATTTGAGGTTTGGGGGTATACTTACCACTACATGTATGCATATATAGTTTCACACATTTATCTACTGTTAAAGCTTTGTTAATCTTTCCTGAGATGTTAGAATTCAGAGAAGGTAAATGGCTGATGAATAAGTAACTCTCTTCAAATATCAAAAAGGAAAAAGGCTAATTGGATTTCTGATGATGAACCTTTAGGGAAAATTTTATATTGGCCACATTTTTTGTCTTTTCTCTTTAATGGAACATTGCATTTATTCTAGAACTACACTCTTGAAATGTTGTTTTAATTCTGATATATTTCTCTTCTGTGCCCTAGGATAAATTAAGGTTCAATTATAGCCCTAAAAAAAAAAGTTATAGAAATAGATTCAAGCAATAAATTACTCATAAAACTCTTTGCCTTCCTTTCTTACAGATTAAGCACTGGCAAATGCAATTAGACAGACATAGATTAAAAATGTCAAAAGTTGCAGAGAGGTACGTATATTGTCACATTTTCTGCTTTTTCAATTAGACTGATAACCATTGGGAAAATGTCAGTATGAAATAGCTTCAAAGAGCTTTTCAGAGCAAATAGCTCTTCAAAAAGAGACATGGGAGCTCAGACATCATAGAAATAACTTATGAGAATTTACTTTAAGTGGGGAGGTATGAAGTTCTATTACTAATAAAAGTTGGCCCGGATATTCCATGATACATTTCTGATAAACCCAGTAGTAACTGAAAGAGCCTCGGACCAAGTGATCACAAGTTTCATCTTGCATTGACAGGGAGGCTAAATGGAAATAGGTCTGGGGTTATTGTTTTTGCTATTTCAAAAGGGCTATCACTGATAAAGCAAGGAACTGATTGGTGTAGAGCTTAAAGTTTGTATTAGAGCTTGAAAAAAATGAGCCTGAGCTTACTTTGGGTCAGAGGATTCCTACAGTAGTAGGAATCTTTGTCCAGATAGGACCAAAATTTGGCAAATTTAATTTGTCAAATTAAAGTCCCTTGGGAAGACTAACTACAGCTTATGTAGAGAAGAGGTGGAGAAAACAAATGTTCTATCTTACACATCAAATACACAGATAGCAAAAATTGCAGAAAATTCAGCTGCCTAAGGCTTAGTAAAGGAAACTAAGCCAAATACAAATTGTTCTTTATTCTCTCATATACGTTTGTGCATGTATGTCTACTTATATATGTGTATGTATGCATACATATACAAATACATATATTTATTTATAAAGAGGGCAGGTTAAGTATTTTTGTTTGTTGAGCCATAAAAACAGAATGCTGACTAATATAATATGAATTGAAATGAAAAGAAAGAATAGTTGTCCTCACCTGTCAAAAGTTATGAGGCCAAAGGAAACAGAAAACAGGAATAAGGACATGGGAGATGTAAATTATGAGAATACAAGCAAAGTTTTTAGTGTGTTTAATAGAGTCAGACCCATTAATGAATACCAAATTATTTCAGAAAAAGATTCTGTTTATTTTGGAAAACAATAAACTTGGGAGAGGTGCCATTGGATTAGGAAATAATAAAAATATTAATTGTTTTTAAGAGAGGATAAAAGGAGTCCTAGCAGGTATAGGGCCCGTAAATATGACCTACATGGCATGCAGTGTTTTAGAACAGATTTTAAAGGAACTGATAATTAAAACCATAGGGGTATAAAACATGTTCATTTATGAAAACAAATCTGCATGGAAGAGGTTGCTTGACTTAATTTGTTAGTGCCTAATTAACGCCCTAAAAGGAGCTACGTGAAAGTATTAGGGAAGTTTATTTTATTTCAACTCTTAATAGACCTGAGCCACCCCTCCTTCTTCAGAGATCCACTTTTAAAAGACTTTAGCAAAACTATTTTACCCTGAGCCTGTAGCTAACTTCTGAGTGTTGCATACACGGTTACCATGGTTCAGCTGATGCAAGGGAACTTGTTAACTGGGGTAGCTTGATCAGGTTACTACAGCTACTGACATGACAATGCTTGATGCTTTTGTTTTCCTAGTCTATTAGCTTATACAGAGCAGTATTTGGAATACGATCCTTTTCTTGTGCCCCCTGATCCATCAAACCCTTGGATATCAGATGACACCACTTTCTGGGAACTGGAGGCAAGGTATATAATTTTATTTCTTCTTTGACAGTAAGGGGGTGTAACATGCTTACTGGAAATGTGAAGATTTCAGACAGAGGTATTGCAGAAAAATACTGAGGTAGAAGGGCAATGCAGCATCTTCTTGCTCTTTCCAGCTTTACAGTTTTGTAAGATGGGAAGTGCTTTGGATTAATAAATCTGTGTAAAATGTTACATTAACCAGTTTACAGGATTCTAGTACGGTGAAAAAAAGGACACCTTTTAAAATCCGATAACATTTCTAGGTGGAAGTCTTTACTCTTCTGTGTAAAGACATGTATTACCTTCATCCTGTGTAAGTACTAGCAGTCTGTTATCTCTGAACATTTCACAGATATTAGCAACCTAGAAGGTGAGAAACCTGTGGTTGAACTTTAGTACTTAGTCTAAATTATGAACACAGAATATTAGAATACTGAAATATTGCTCATTTTGGGTTCTGTTGGTTTTTTTCCTCTGTAGCAAAGAGCCAGGACAGCAGAGGGTGAAACGATGGGGGTTTGGCATGGATGAAGCTTTGAAAGACGCTGTGGGAAGAGAGCAGTTTCTGAAATTCTTGGAGTCAGAATTCAGTTCAGAAAATTTAAGGTAAATGAGAGGCACTTTTTTTTAAATAGTTTGTAAGATATATTTTTTTTGTTGTTGTTGTTGCTTGTTGTTTCTTTTTTTCCCCATACCTTTCTCTTTATTTTTTAAATGAAATTTTTCTGTGCCTTCAAAAATTTTCCTGTGCCTTTCCATTCAGAATCCACTCATACAAATTAGTTTCATATACAGGCTGAGGAAAATATTCATATAGTTAACTGAGACTCGCATGAATATACTTTTCCATTCCTGTCCAGCACTTGGTCAAACTCCCCATGAAAGAGGTTTTCTCTCAGCTCGTCTTATTAAACAGTTTTAAAACATTGACCCACTCAAAACCTGTTCAGCATCTTTTATTGTGTGGTGGGTTCACCTTGGCTGAATGCCAGGTGCCCACCCACCTGCTCTATCCCTCCCCTTCCCAGCCGGACAGGAGAGAGAGTAAGGTGGGAAAAGAAAACAACACAAATTGTGGGTTGCAATAAGGCAGTTTATATTTGTGCAAAAAAGAAAGCAAAAGCAGCGTGTGTGCACACAAAGCAGAAGCCAGCAGTTAATCTCTACTTCCCACAAGCAGCCATGGTCGGCCACTTCTCTGAGAAGCAGGGCTCCAGCACACGTAACAGTTGTCAGCAGGCAGCCACCAGAGACAATGAGTGCCTCCAGTCCTGCTCCTTGCCTCAGCTTTTATATCTGGGTTGACGTCATATGGTCTGGAATATCCCCTTGGTCAGTGTGGGTCAGCTGGCCTGCTTGTGTCCCCTCCCAGGATCTTGCCCTCGACTGAAGAAGGAATGTTACGGTGCTGTGCTCAGCAGTAGCCAAAACATGGGTGTGCTATCAACACTCCTCTAGCTACCAATGCAGAGCACGGCACTGTGAGGTCTACTATGGGGAAATAAATTCTGGCTCAGCCAGACCCACCACAATTGTCAAATATTATGAGAAGAGTAAAGTGAAAAGAAAAAAGTTAAAACATAAATAAAGAATTCAAAAGTAAAATTCACAGACTTTTGCTTTTGGTGAGGTTCCTGGGGATCGTTTTGAAAATCTCCACCAAGATTCTAGTACTTGTGGATCTGACACAACAGAAGGAGGGTGACATCTAGCTCTCAAATTCCTCATTTATTGCAAAGTGGAAACGTGTTCTTGGTGCATAAAGTTTATAGTGTATTTTTTAAAAAATATATTTACAGATTTACTTTTAAGTGAGAAGAATAATTATTTGATTTTAAAATGCAATGGTTCATCCATTGGCTAATAGCATGTTTTGTTGTCACAGTTCTAAGAAAGTCATATTTCAGTAGGAGTTATTTCAGAAGGATTAATAACTACCTTTCTATAGATAAGAATCTATACATAGTACATATTTTTCTCTTTATTCCACCTTCTAGTCAGATGTCGTTTCACTTTCCATTGACCAATAACATAAGTAGTATAAAATCTTCTTTGCATTTACATTCTAGAACTCAGAAGAATCCTAACCTACATTTTTTCTTTGCCAGTTCTCACTCCGAAGTGGTGCAGCATAGCCATTCATATTAGAATTACACCTTTGTAGCATCTGTCAAGGAGGCATTTAACATTTCTGGTGTTGATTTGTAAATGCTGAGTATTTGCAGAGATCTCCTTGTTGTTAATTTAAATTTGTCAGCAGAATAATTAAAGATGGAGTTCTCTAAGTTGCTGACCATGTTCGTTTTCAAACATTAATTTTGCATCACAAATATGGCCTGATCTGTATGTGTATGTTGATGACTTCATTAGTCACAGATACACAGATTTATTTTTTTAAATAAAAAGTCCAGCAGGTAAAATGATTTTTTAAAAATCAGAATAATACCAAGAAAACGAAAGGTAATTTTTTTTTTTTTATTTAAAGAGCATCCTGGTAATTTGTTATGCAGAGCAGCTGTTCAAACATGAACCTATTGAGCCCAGTGTGTGCTACAGTTTCTGGTGCTTTTCTGTGATTAATTTGTCTCTCTGCCAACTAGACTGTTACTCACATAATCCCTAACTCTTTCGTCTAATCCTATTTACAACACTAACCACAGGCAAACTGCAAGTGACTGATCCAGAAAAAATCCCTCAAGAAATTTGTTCAGAGCTGATTCTTTGAGATGCCACCTACTCTTCTGTCTCTCACTCTAGATTCTTGTATTGGAATTCTAAAATATAATATCAGAGTAATGGCGAGCTTAAAGGCCAAACAGGGGCTAAAATTTGCTCTGAAAAGGTGCTTCCCGTGACAATTACCGGAAGAAAAACTGTCTCACAAGCTCAGAATTATGTTTGTAAGTTCTCAAACTGTAGTAAAATCAATCCACGTCAGGCTCATGTAGTAAAGTTGTGTTTTTAAAACTTGTGTAATGGCTGTCAAAATGTTTTAGATCTCAATAACAAAAATTAAAAGTCTGATGGTTTCAAGCATTACACTGAATAAACTTTAAAAGACCACCACTTTCCTTGCTCTCCTGTTAACTCCATCATGGCAATTTGGGGTTTTTTTGAGTGGTATTTTTTTAATTCTAATTATTTTTTTGACAGCCACCTTGAGAAAAATATTTATTTCCACCCACATCTTCCCACTGCAACTAATTGAACTGAAATCAGTAGCTGGCTCTTGTCCTTTTACAGATCTGATCATGATAAAATTTACAACAAACAGTGTCAAACCTACAGTTGGATAGACAGCTGGGACCCTGGATTCAAGCTTCTGAGCACAGCACACAGGATACAGTGGGGACTGCAGACACAACAGGAGCTTCAATATTAGTAGATTAGGTGCCTTATACCTCATTTTGGTGAAATAAATACAAAAAATGTGAAGTGATAGGTCTACCAGATACACCATTTCCATTCAAGCGTGATTGTCTTAGCTGAAAGTCCCAGTGTTACTGTTTCATTAACTTGGTCTGAGAGTGTCTAAACTACCTGAGAATCTTGTTCTTGATTGATATAGATCCTATCTTAAGAAACAGAACAGGGATGAAAAAACTTGAGCTGTGAGTTAAAATTAAGAATTGTGCAATGATTAGGAATACAGCCAGGTTTCATTTTATTTTGTATCTCTGTGCTTTTTTCTTTGTAAATTGGGATTAACACTATTTTGCTCTCTAAAGGAGTGTCGTAAAGCATAGCAACTGTGTAAGCAGTTCTGTCAGTGCAGTAACTTCAATACAGACTGTAGTTTGCTAACACCCAGATTGGATTCTGCGGGCTGTGACTTGTGATTTCTTGTTACTATGCAGATTTTTTTGAAGAATTGCTTTGTGTGCTGCTCAATACACAGCACAAATAGCTAAAGTAACATATGATTTGGATAATAGATTTATGAAATTCTCACTGCCTATTACAAAAATGGTGACCATTGTTTAAAATTCAAAAGACTAAAGTTTGAGCATGATCCAGTACTACTGGATCATGGGTCACAGGGCTGTCTGAGCACTAAGAAAAAGACTTCCAAACAGAGTGAGGTACTGAAATCAATTTTTCTGCAACATGGCAGCTGGAGACCTAATTTCTTTCATCCCTGTGGGAAATTGTATTCCTCTCCTTATCCTTCCTTTGCCTATAATGCAGCAGAATTCTTTGGAAAGTTAATATTTGTATACTGACTGTACATTTGCTTACAAGTGGTTATTTTGTAAAAAATGCAGCCTTTTTAAAAAAAAAAACACAAACAGTCTAAATTGTTTCAGGCCTGCCAACCTGTCCAAATCATTTTGTAGTGCTTAGAGATGTGATCTCCAAGGCAGCACTAGGACTGCAAAAACCTCCTAGGTTAGTGAAGGGAGAGTGGTGACAAGATATCTTCCACGATGCACAGAAGGAAAAGCCACCAGACTCCTTGCCCCTTCCTTTGATCCTCATTTATTAGCTGCCATAATGTGTGACTAAATAGGGAAAAGAGACTTTGCATTCTCGTTGTCCAGAAAAAAAGAGAGGACTGAGAAGTTAGCTAGATTTAGATGTTTTCCCTCAGTAAATTTTCTCTGACCATCCCCTTGCAAGCTGAGATTTTGTGAGATGTTTATTTTGGACTCATCCAATTAACTTGTTGTAGAAATGTTCTGTACTGGAGATAGGGGGTTCAGTTATGTTCTATAGAAGAAATAAATAAAACCCCACACATACACTACTAAAAATTTGCAGTGTTGCCTAAAAACTGTTCTGGTTGTAGGGTTTTATTTTCACTTACTGCAGTGGTTCTGGTTGTTCTTTTAACATACCATTACAGTACTTTTACTAGGGAAAAGGGAGAATGCTGCAAGAGGTTAAGTCTTTTTAAGCCAAACTGTTTCATTTTTTTTGCTCTTTATTACTGATCACCGCTCTTTATGACTTCAAGTGCAAATTTCTCTCCACTGATGGTGGAGGAGTGAGTTCTGCATGTTACAAAGTATGAATGAAAATTGATTAACTGTCCTTGATGTCTGTCCTGCAAGTCTGAACAGAAGTGCTGGTGATGACACTTTCACACATAGTATGGGCACTGGTGATTTTTATCTTTCACACTGGTGATTACGAGGCTCTGTTTCAAATCTGAAATTGCCTGTGTGTTATTTCTCATTCAGACTCAAGCTTAAATGCCAAGTCCCAGCAATGCTGACATTTCTGCAGATTAGATGAGAAGGAACTAGTTGCAAGATTTAATGATTATTCTGTGTCATTTTCTTGAAGTCCTTCAGCTCTATTATGTCTTGAAGCTTGAAGTTGTACTTGGCAAGAAGGTGGACTCTAGGAATCAGAGAGTAGTGTTTCTTGCCCCTGGAAAAATATTAGGTGATTTTCTTCATAGAGCTTTTTAAGGTTTTATTTTCTTTTTCTGTTGCTGAAAATGCTGAAACGTCTGTCCTCCGTCCTGTTGTGTCACATGCACTGGGTACCAAGACCATGTAATTCCCACTTTGCTGTTATCACACTCTGACTGTATCTCACACATTTCATGGAGAACCACTGTAGCCTTTCTCTCACTCTGTGTCCCTATATACTAAATTTAACTGATTGGTTTGATCTGGGATCTGCTGTTGGCTGCACCTGACATTTAGGTCAGTTAATGGGACAGAAGTGGTGTTGTAGCTGTGCAATTTACCTGTAAGGCCACCATCACTGTAAAAGTAATCCAGATGGAGGACATAATCCCCAGATACAGTGCAACGTGTGTCTTACCAGTTCATATAGCTGGATCTACTACTACCATATACTATACACCCTCATTTAGCTGTATGTCTGGTTTGTGCCCCAGTGTGTGGCAGCCCAAATGCTGGGATAGAAAACAGGAGCGAGGTTTACACCCAGCTGGTCAGGTCTCTGTTCCAACAGTACTGAGCATCTTCTGTAGAAAGTCTCCATGGCAAAAGGAAAGCTCCACCAACAGGAAATACAGTTTCATCTGAGGGCAGCCATACTGAGCTCTAGTTCCTTTCACAAAGTAGCACTAAGTTATTGTCCAGAAAATGCAGTTTTCCCTCTGCTGTGTCCTGCCCTCACACGTATTTATTGTTGTAGACTGTGTGCTGTTTGCTACAGGAGTCATCCCTTGCTCTGGTCACAGCTCACGAGGCTACGAGCTATAAAAAGGGACAGGGAGCTCTTTTGGTTTGAGGCCCTGAGCTAAGGTTTTGTGGACTCCGTGTCAACTTCATCTGTGAAGGCCATGGGATATTTGGAAAAGTTATTTTTGAAAATGCAAGAGGGGGCAACCTTATTTTTGACATCTTCTAACTTTAAATAGTTGAATTAAACTCTCTTTGGGAGGAAGGCAGGCATCTTTTCTTAAGAGATCAGTAAGTAGATTAAAATCTTAAAATGTGTGTTGACTGTGAAGTAAGTACCCTAGACATAACACAACAGAGAAATCAGCATTTTCTTCCTACTTTTAGAGAGGTGTGTATATTTAAAATCTAACATTTTTTATAGGGTCTTTGAATGCCCTTGTTAAAAGGGTAAAATAAAATTAATCTATCAAAGAACCTGTGTTCACCCTCTAAATGTATGTCTATACAACCTGCCTATTCTATGCTGGAAGCAAAGAAGTTAAATTTATTTAAATTTATCTCCCATCTGTTTCCCCATAATTGAGTATAACCCACTATATGGAAACAGCTTACTTGCAAAGAAAAATAGCATCCTAAGGCATGTTTATGGTGACTTCCAGAAGTATTGACATTGATGCAATGGAACAAACAAGAAAGTGACATCTTTGAGCTAGATCCTCAGGATGTCTGCAGGGTAGTAGAAAATGTGTATTTACAAAGAGCATCCTTCCCTTTCATTTTTCTGTTTTTTACCTGACTTCAAGACACATAAGTAATCAGTCAGTCCCAGAAGATGCACTTGAAGGGGTTAGCACTGCAGGATATATGCTTTTAAATGCAAATATCGAAAGCAGCTTAAGGAAGCCAAAGTAGGTTGCCCAAATTTGACAGAGTGAACTGAATTAGAGTTTGTGAGCTATGCAGTTTTTAAACTTGAGTTATGAGGCCTCTATTCTTACTGCATTGCCATCAGATTCTCATGATACATCCCCAGGCTCTATGCGGACTGTGTTCAATTCACATTGCAGTTCACATATATAAGTGATGCTACACGGAATTTTTGAAACCGGAGTTCTTTTATTGGCAGAAGACTCCCTTTGTGACCTTAGAGAAACCACTTTATATTATTACATTATTAATATATTTGCAAAACTGGGACAATATTGCTTCTCTCTCTCGGACAGTCTTAGATGGAAAAATTGAAGGGTATAGAAATACCTGAAATAGTCATCTTGGTAGAGTAAAGCTGACCATAATGCCTTGTGAGAAATAAGGAAGGGCTCCTTCCACCTGTGCTACAAAGATGCTTCAAAACAGGACTGTGAAGGAATAATTGCTTCCTGAAAGGTAAATTATCTCAATTGAAGAATGTCTTATGGTAGGAATACTGTAATGTTTTCTACACTTTATATCCTCTTTTCATAGTCGTTGAAATAACTGTATTAGAATTTGGATTGAGGGTGGTATCATTTTGCTTCCTTGTGGGGTCTGAGTACAGTTTCACTATTCCTCTCTCCTGTCCCATCCCTGTTGAACTCAGCTGAAGGAGCTCAGTTTGATCTCACTGTGTGAGCAGGGTGAAACCACATTTTAAAGGTGCACTCAATTTATTTGTAAGCCCTGTAAAATCCAACTGATTTCACAGATAAATCACTTCAAGGTTCAGCTTATCTATTTCATAGGATCAACTGTGTCAGAACAATATTGAGAAGTTGTCGCGGTATATACTGCATGTTTAACAAAGTCACAATTTCATTGAGCTCTTAGCTTTGGGGGAGAACTAACCGGTCTGCACAATGCCTAAGCATGGGATACTGAATGCATTTAGAATTATTTCGTGAAGTGAGAGAGCCTGAACACCCATAGAAGAAATAATGAAATAAAGGTTATACCTAGCTAGCTGTGATCACAAAGTGCTCAAGACCTTTTTAGTTTCCTTCTCCAGACTGAATGAGAAGGACACAATGAATCGGCCAGCACTGTATGTATTGCCCAATGTTAGTTTGCTCAGCAGCAGAAAAGAAAAGAGAATATGTGTTTCCATTCAGCATTTTTAGCGAAAATGTGCATAGAAATGCAATGCTAAAGAAAGAAATTAAATTATAATGAGCAAAACAAATGCTTTTCCAGTTCGTGCATGATTTGTGGGTAACAAAATTAGTTGTACGGTTTAGAATTTAGTAGGACTCAGAGATTCATGTAGATATCAAGAATATAAGTTATTAGTTTTTGAAGGAATGTCAAAAAGCAGTCAGTTTATAAGCAGTATAAGCCCTTGTGGTTCAGCCAAAATGAAGTCTCAGTTTAATTCCAGCTAAATGGAAATCTTCTTGTAAGCAAGTTACCCATACGTAAGTAATAAAGGATTTCCTATCCATCTCATGAAGAGTCTTCTAATAATTGCTTGCTAAGGTGGATTGGTTGCCTTGAGACAGAATGCTGATCCCAACACAAAAATACAGCTTTTTCTTGGTTTAGCATGTTTTAGATTAAAACTTCAGTTACTTAATTTCCTTTTTTAAGAGCAAGGAAGAATGTGAGCACTTCATTAATGATTTTCCTGAAATGGAAGTGAAGATGTTGCATTGTGCCATAGGTTCTGGTTAGCAGTAGAAGACCTGAAGAAGAGGCCTATCCGTGAAGTCCCTGCTCGTGTCCAAGAAATCTGGCAAGAATTTCTTGCTCCGGGTGCACCCAGCGCTATCAATCTAGATTCAAAAAGTTATGACAAAACCACTCAGAATGTGAAGGACCCTGGAAGATACACATTTGAGGATGCTCAGGTCAGTTTGCAATCCTGTTTAGGGACATTTGAAATAGAATATTGGCTATTGAAGTATTTCTATATTAAGAAAAAGAGATATATTTGGAATTAAATGATAACATCCTATTTCCTACGGTGTCATTTTGGCGATGCAAATGGGTAACATTCTTTCTTTCATGAGGCGTATGAAGTTCTTCGTGAAACTTCTGTGCTTGATATAAAGTCTTCAAATGGACTTCAAATAGAGCGAAACATATAGTGAAGATAAAATGAAGTACTTCTGTATTAAATGCAATGCTTCATGTGAACTTATAACTTAATATTTCATCTTTGCAGACTTCTGAGAAAAGCAATAGAAAAGAATTGGATTCACAGTAAAAGTAGCAGAACTGGTATCACCCTCCATTTTCATCAGCAGTTCAGTGATGAAAATTTAATTATTAATGCAAAGTGAAATGGTGTCAAAAGGAGAGATTGAAATCACATCCCTGCAGAATTTCCTACAGCTTGATTATTAGGTCATCCTCTTGGGAGTCAGGAGATGCTGCTACAGGCCTCACAAAGGAGAGAAGGGAATTAAATTGAGGCTTTCTACTTTTCAGGAGCATGCCTCTGCCCTAAATAGAGGGAGAATAATTCTACCACATTTTCACTTTTCCATTATGAGGATAGCAACCTATGAAGAAACAATAAAATTTTCATTAGACCCTGTGTCATACCCACTGTTTTGAAGTATTGTGCATTAAACCAAACAAACAATTGTTGCTTGCATCTGCGAACCCCTGGAGGTTTAAGAATGCAGCATATAGAGAAGACATAAATTACACAAATAATCTAGCAAGATTAAAGGCTTAAAAAAAAGTCTTTGCAGCTGAATCACTAAAGGACAATTAAATTCCTTTGCAGTATCCAGTTTATTTTTTTTAATAGGTGTAAAATTTCAGCACCAACTTCCAGATCTCTCTTCTTATAATTTTTTCCTTCATTTATGAAAGCTGTGAAGTATCCAGTCTTTATGTAAGCAGGACTTTTCCTCCTGTCAGATCTCTGCTTAGTTCCTCCAGTTCAGCAAACAAAATTTGAACCTGGAAGCCATTTGTCTTGGAAAAGGGGGCAGGCTGCACCTGTCATAGTCTCACTTGAAGCTTTAGGACCTCTACAGAGTGTCCCACCTGAGGTGGCAGGGTTTTGTCAGGATAGGGCTCTGCCTCTACAACAGGCTCTTCGTCGCCTGCCAGCTGGGAAAGAGACCACTTGTATATCATTCTGGCAACCAGAAGGTCACTTAATTGTGGTTAAAAATGTATGAAAAGCATTTCTGGACTTGAAATACGAAACAATAAAGCTCCCTGTCAAATGAGAGGGATACATAAGTAAAAATAGTCTGATTGTGTTAAATAACAAGCAGCCTCAATTCCTGACTAAGGTGTCCACTAATACTAAGCCTAATCTATTCTTGCTTTTACAGGGCTGTTTCTTGTACAGAAATAACATTTTAATGCTTATCACCACTTTCTGCTCTCTGTTGAATGCACTGTTTGCTTCCATAGGGAGTGGAATAAAAACTCCCTAAATAAACCAGCCTAAGTTGTGAATATATACCAGAATTTCTCCGCTTAGTGTAAGAAATCCAATGAAAGACACTTAGAATCATTTCTAGAGTTTCTAATACAGCAAAAAGTAATTTTCAAAGAAGGTGGGAGGTTTGTTTGGTTGGTTGGTTTGGTTTGGGGATTTTTTGGATTTTTTTATGTTGGTTTTTATTTTGGTTTGGGTTTTTTTTTGTTTGTTTGGTTGGGTTTGGGTTTGTTTTGTATTCACTAATTTTATGCACTACCAAGCCTAAAAATAATATTTACTTTACATTTTCTTTGCTGTTTCCCAATTGCTGTGCTACGGGTTTTCTACAGTAAAAAATAGAGTTTAAGTAAAAGAAAAGCTCCACAAAAATAGCCAGCACAATTCAGTGGATTTTTAAAAATTATTTTGAGAGCACTTCCTATTCTGATTGCTTTTCTACAAATCTTTTTCTAATATATAGTAGAACTAGAATTATCAAGCGTCCTACATCATAGATTTTTTGGTTTTAATCTTTTTCAGAAATGAGAATGCTTCAAAATGAAAAACTATAAGCTCTGTCATTTGTTTTCTGAATAAAGATTTTAAAATTTTCACACCCCTCTGAAGAATGAACATCTTGAAAAATAGATTAGCCTCGAACTGTTTTTTAATTTACATATGTATTTTCCTTTTTATATTGTTATCTGGGAAGCAGACTAAATGTCTGTCAAAGGATGTTTTCAAGAGTAGCCAGGGGATATCCTCGCTAACTTTAGCACTTAATTATGATGCTGAATTGAGTTTCTCATCCTGCCTGTGAAGTCACAAGAGAATGTCCACAAACTAATTCAGAAAATCTGATGAGGAAGGATCCACAGCTCCTAATTTAGTCAGTTAGCTAAACTGACTAATGTAAGGAAGGTTTGAAATTGGGCCTTAAGTTAGGGCTCAGTTGTAAATTCTTATAAAATAATTTTTTAGTGGAAATTAGGTCTGTAAATTAAAGAAAGATGTGCTTGTGCTGTGTAATTTATACATAACAAATGGGAGGAATTTCTGGTTTCAGAATAGAAAGCAATTCAGCCTTAGCTTCAGAACTGAAACCTGATGTCCCATAATACTTCCTATTCATAATACTGCTAGCTGGTATACATTCCACAACCAAAATGTACGACTGTCTCCCATTTTATACATGTCTTCTTTCATGGGAATAACAGCTCCCTCTTTCCTTTTCAGGAGCACATTTACAAACTGATGAAAAGTGATTCTTATCCTCGTTTTATACGATCCAGTGCCTACCAGGAGCTGCTACAGGCCAAGAAAAAGGTATTGGTCCATCTTGCCTTTGTCTTGCCACTGTGCAAAGCAGTGGTTATGTTTGCAACAATACTCAGTCTTCTCTCCCCTGTGCCAGTGCAACTGGATATCTGGTAGGTGACCAGCTTGGCGTGTTTGGAGGGTCACATACACACAGGAGTTCAATATACATATATGTGTATATATCCTGCATGCGGGCATGTTTCAATAAGTTAATCTAGCAAAACTTATTTTTATTTTTACATCCCATATTGTACTGTTTTCTCTGTTATGAAGCACCTTAATTGCAAAGTGCTTTACAAATACATTAAAAAAAATAAAATAAAATCCCAGAAGAATAGTCTTTCATGTTTGCAAGTTTGCTTATGTAATAGTTGTTGTTCTCTTTATTCCATCTATAAAAGCTACAGAATGTGTTTAGAAACAATCTTATTCTTATGGATTACTTCTAATTTCAACTATAAATATAGGGGCTTCCTAATTTTGTTTCTTTCCCTATTATTACATGAATAGTTTTGAGTAGGCTAGGAATCTGACTTGAAAGACTGATCATGTCACACTTCGGCAAACAGAAGCTCATGTCTTGGTATGTAATATTTACTTAGAAAAGTTCAGATTATGGAATGAGTTCTGAATAGCCACAGCCCAGAGTATATGGAGCAGCTTGTGCATTGCAGATTTCTATAACGATAAATAATTTTATCAGTGGGCTTTAAATAGTAATCTCCTAGAATCAGCTGGGAACCCTGTGCCTTGCAAAATCAGGGCCCTGATTGTTACCGGAACAAGGTAGTTATTAATACCATGGGATTCTATTGTTTACAATGACAACCTAAAATTATATGAAAGTATTGTGTGATTTTGTTTTTTGTTCAAACATTGATTTCTGAAGATCCAATATAGAGAGAGATGTTGAAAAAACCAGAAAGCTTCAACTGTCCGTGTGAAGTCCTTAAGTTTGTGAATGTCAGTTCATTAACACAAGATGTGCACTTCATTATTTCTTTTTATTTTCAGTTTTTCTTTAAATTCAAACCATGAAGTTTGATCCCCTTGAAAAATTATTTTTGTCTAGTACTATATCTGCTTTGCCCATCCCCTGTTTTACCAAGTCCCATTACCGCCTCATATCTGTGTTTGCTTCCTGATTTATACAGACTTTGTTTTGCAGTCCATTGTTTCATCAATCCTTCTTTTCTACTCCATTTTTCTCGCTTTTCTTTTTCCCCTCCTTTTTCTTTTTGTTTCTTTTGTTTTATTTTTTTTAAATTTAAGTTGGAAAACACTCTGGATCGTCGAACATCTTTTGAGAAATTCACACGCAATGTGGTAAGTTTGTTGCCTCGGAAGACTAGTAAGCCTGATGGGACATCCTTCTCCCCTTCCCCTCACTGATCCCTACTTTCCCTTTTTGCTTCTCTAACCTGACAGTTGAAAGTGTATTCATCACTGTTTTGGATTTTCCTGGGAATGACAGCTTTATAATGTGCTTTCATTACAACTCCTCCTCCTAGTCCCTTTCCCAATGATCTCAATAGTCACACATGGAGGAATGGACCTTTGGGAGCCATGCTTTTTGCATTAGGAAGCATGAAATTAGTCACTTTTTTTTTTTTTTTGCTTTAATTTTAGTAAAGAATCTGTGAAAACCTGCTTGATGTTGTTTCTTTTTCTGGTGCCTCCCAAAATACTGAGTTTAAAACAGTTGAATACATTGGATTTCCATCCTGTTTTCTTTTTATTTTACTGAAAAATGCTTCATCATGGTTTTTTTGATTGGGCACAGGGAAAAATAAACAATAATAATTTCCCCATGTTCCTTAAAGTCTAACACAGCTTCTGCAGGATTAAAGAATTCATGCTGTTGATGTGCAAGGGTTTGATTTGGATTAATTTTCATAATGGATTAAAAGAACTGATTTTTTCTTTTCAATATATAATTTTTTTAAGCTATTTACTGACCGTAAAAAAAAAAAAAAGGAGGCTGGTAGGTTTGGTGTGAGCATTCTTTTGCCACCTGCCAAAAGATACACTGATTTCCTGATATGTGGGATTCTTTTTACCTATCCAGTTTCTTTGGAATTATTTTTTTTTTTTTTGCATTGTGAAAGTTCAAACTAAAGAATTCAACGCATTTATTTTTGTAGGGCAGAAACATCCCAATTTTCCCATGCCATAAAAACTGTACACCAACACTGAGGGCGAGCACTAACCTGTTATGAAAAGAGGTAGAAAGATCTTGGATTATACTCAAGTTTGTCTGCATTGTCTGTTGAATTGTGTAGGTGACGCTGCTGTGTGTGTGCGCGTGTGTCTGTGGCTTTTTCTGTGACCTGGTAAATGGAGCTGTGTGCACTGAAATGAAAATTATGAGAGCTTTCAGCAAAGATCATGGTTTTTGTTTTTTAGTTTCTAAGGAAGAAGAAGCAGTTCTCAAAAACCGCCTCCTATGCAATGGGGCTCAAGAGTATTGCCTCAAGTATTTAAAAAAATACATAAATACTTTCCAGTAATCAAAAAAAAAAGAAAAAAACATAGTGAAAGAAAAAAGTTTTGTGAGGCTGTGGGAATATCTCACATTTTAAAACAAAACAGTAATTCTTTAACTACTTTCTTATAGGTAAAGGCTTCCTGTAATATGCTTTGAATCCACTGTAATCAGGAAGAAATTTGGATTCAATGGGACAAAGTCAGTAAAGGACACTAAAAGTAAATAAACAGCCACAAAGGAAACTATCCCAGTGTTTGAAACAAAAACCCCTATGTTTTGCATGGTGGTGTTGCCATAGCATGTTGCAGTGTGATTTGTGTGTTGTCTCAGCAGGTTGGATCTATAAAACAAGATTGTACATGATAACTTTATCCATAATTCCACTATAATTCTGTAGGAAGTTCCATATTAATAAAAAGTCTATAAAAAAGAGTGCAGAGAGTGGGTAATACATCCAGGATCTCTGAGAGCCAGACTTTTTCCCAGTCATGGTGCCTGGCAAGCTGCAATGCTACATTTATTCACGGCATTTTGAACAGCCCACAGGTCAGGAGTTGGCTATGGTAAAGATTATGTGAACAGGTGGCTATGAGGAGAGAAATGGCAAGCTGCAGATAGATGGGAGGAGAATACAGCACAAAGAGAGAAAAAGTGAAGACAGACTGGAGACACTGAAATCACTCCCAGAGCACTGTTGTGCAGTTCTGGGCACAAATATGGGAGCATTGTGCCCTGCATCCATGCCCAGTTTTCACTGTGCTAATCTCAGGGCAGAAGTACCAGAATAGCAGGATGCCAGAAACGCAAAGCAGGCCCAGTAAACCAGCTGTGAACTACAAATGAGAATGAGGATTTCTGGATAAGAAGCATTAGTACTTCAGTAGAAGAGGGAGACTTTTTTTTTTTTTTCCACAGAGCAATCTGTAAAATAAAATCTGTGGTTTTGCTGCCTTTTAGTCTGTCAAGTCAGGTCAGGTATGAAAGAAAAACATGTCTCTATTGGATCTATTCAGATGACTGAATTCATGTTACCCACTTCCTCAGGACCCCTTGCCACAAGGCATCCTTGTTCTTCCACTCTTGTTCTTGGCTGTGATGAGTTTATAATATGTAATTATCTACGTTGGTACACTGGTTCCAACTAGCAGGGATGAGGGAAACATTTCTCAGAATATCCTACAGTGTGCTGATTAACTTGCTCAACTGTGAAGCGAGGGACTGACTGTAGAATAGATCTGTTCTACAGAACATAGTGTGAAATAGGTCTTCTACAACCTAGATAAATGCTGTCATCTCTGAATGATTTAGTAAGATGAAATTTACAGTTTCTCTTCTCCTCTGATGGTTTACAATATTTAGATTAATTTTCACTGGATTTTTTGTCACTTATATCAAAGTGGATTTGGATTGAACTAAATTAGACCTCAGTTTTTTCCGTTTGAAATGTTTAAAAAACCCCAGTAGCCTTGGTTGTGTCTAGGGACTCAATCTGAGAAGATGGCCATGTAATTCATAACCTGATTTGTTAAGATGGTGACTCTAAGAGGCTCCTGATCAATGTTAATTGAAATTGGGTTATACTTGCTACAGAAAGAATTTGTTAAACTAGAAACTTTGTAAGGGCAATTACACTGTACTATTTCATTAATTATGTGGAAATAACCTATTATAATGAGTCACTATTCTAGTCTGATGGGGAAAAAATAGAAGTGATCTATATAAACAAATCTATATAAACAAAAACACTAGGCTCAGCTCTGTATCTCTTTGACATTAAAGAGTTTTTTTTCCAGAAAACTTTCAATAAGTTGGGGCACTTCACGAAAGCCCTAAATGCTCAGCTTAAAAACACTATTTATCTTGCTCTGTGGATTTTATCATGCAAAATTGCTAGTGCCTTCAGCATAGTGCAACAAACAGTATGAATGGTGTTAGAAACAGGACTGCATTCACATAAATATACAGAAGCAATAGCAAACTGGCATTTGCAACATGTAATTTTTACTACCGAACACTTTATATTTTGCATCCGAGTAGTAACCCCAGCTATTCTTGGTTTGCCTCATTTCCTCACGCTCCTGGGTATTGTGTGAAAATATAGAACACATACACTTCAGCACTACTGGAATGAAGCTGTTAGATAAGTGCATTGCCTTGGAGTAACACTGGCAACCACAGGTGTCACAGCTCTGAGTCTGAGGCACAGAGAGCAGTGACAGTGTGCACTGTGCTTTCCCCCCCCCCCCATCTAGATCAGCCCCTCAGCTTCCTCTTTGAGAATAATAAAGGTCCAGTCACCTGCAGTTCCCCAAGAGAAGCTAAAGGTCTATGTCAGGGAGCAGGAGGGTCTCATCACATGCTATATCAGTAGAGAGACAGAAATCAACTGTTTCTGTGGTGTTTAAAAACTGAAATTCTTTCAAGGAATTCACATGGAGAAAAAATATATATATATAAAAAAAAAAGAAATTAAAAAGCCCAGCAAACTTGCTCTACCTCAAGTACTAATATCTGCATTACAGGGGAATATACACTGGTAATGTTGATGGGAACAAAGAGGTCTTTTAAGGAACAATTAAGGAACAATTTTGTGAACAATTTCTCATGTGTGCAAGACTTGTGACAGAGGCAGACTGAGCAAGACAACTTTGTGAGCCCTAGCCTGGTGCTTAACTCTGATTATCTGTCTGGAACCCTTGAAACAAAGGGAACTGATTTACAGGAGAGTGGGCTAATTTAATTTCCACTCCATCCAAATTTTATTGTCCCACCAGGAACAAAGTTAATGGGGTGAGAAGTTGTAGCCTCTCTCCTTAGAGCTGCCTGGGGGGAGATACAAAACAGACCAAACAGTTCATATATTAAACTAGAGACCCATTGAACTATAGATATCTCCACTCATAACCTCATAAACAAGGCCCCATTTAATAATTCCGACTTTAAACCCATTATATCTTACATTACACATACCCTTTCCAGCTGTCTTCTTCCACTTACCTGGAAGAACTTGCTGATCAGAGTCCTTTCATTTTTTCCTCCTCCAAACAAGTAACAACAGACTATTTAATGCAAGTGATGCAAAATGCCAAGTTCATTGAACAGAGCACATTGACATTTTCACAGAATCCAATGTGTCTTAACATGACACAGTGAAATATGGCCTAGAATTGGAAGTTACAACTCATAAAAATAGCTTCCCCTGTTATTATCAGTGGATCATAGACTTTCTAGATGCTTAAATGAGTGTAATCTCTTGTTGTGTTAAAATCTGTCCATTTATTGAGAAACAAGGCAGATAATATATGAATTTCATCTGTTAATCAAGAAATTTTTCTATGAACAGATAAAATTTATGTACACAAGGCCCTACTGTTCCAGACCAAAAGTCCATCTAGTCCTGAAATTCTGCCAAGGGCTAGATTTTTCTCAAGCATAGCATTGCCCAAGAACTTCAATGCAGTATCAGCTAAAGGATCTCATTTTGAATTTACTTACATGTTATTCCCAAAATTTAAACAACAAAAAAAATCTCGTGAGAAGAAAAATAAATCACAAAGCTACTTATTTGACCAATACAAAACAAGAATGAAAACAATAACTATGTGCTTTTTCCATTTCAGAAAAGAGATATCTTATTGATATTTGACTAAAAAGGACAAATAAAATAATTGAAATTTTTAGTTTGAACTACTAACTACTCAAAAACCCTGTAGTTTTAGGGTTTTTTTAGGGGTGGAAAATCATGAAGGACATGCCAGTAAGGACTGGCCTCCTTTTGCTGTTCTGCTGTGCCTGGAGCTGAGGTGCTGTGTGTTGTACTGGAAGAGAGGAGCTTGAGGAGTAGCACTTGCACAGCCAGGTTCATCTAAGTAAGGGGCCAGCAAGGACTGGTCAGGTATTAGGCCAGTGTCTGCCATTTTCCAGCTGACAAACACTTACCTGATTCTTAAGCTGTTTGCAGGAGTGAGAACTGCAGACAGATATGGAAACCTGAGGGGTTGGGCCCAGGACAAACATATTAAAAATATTTTTCCTAAGCATTAGTCCCTTGGAAACCCACACTTCAAGTTCAAACTACTCCATTTGGCAAGAGTTTGTAGGTCAATCACAAGTGAGAACAACTCATCAGTAAGTGTAAAGATAAGTGTAAAAGGAGAAAGAAGTGGAGAGTGTCACTGGTTATAGAATGAGCCAAAACAGGAAAGCTGTTGTTCAGTTTCTGCCTCCTGTCCTCAGATCGTTGCAGGAAAGAGTATGGCCCTAATGAATAGGGAAGAGACAGCTAAATCCCAGCCAGAGGAGGAAGGATTTCCCTGCACATGCAAACACTTAATGCTGCAGCTGTGCTGACAACTCATGCCCCAAATTCAGTAAATATTAACCTCCTCCCTTCCTCACATATGAAAGAAAAATACACCTGCACAGGTGGCTGAGAGCAGCATCCTGTGCTCCTGTGGAAACTGAAGCAGAATTCTGATCCCCTGAGCAGTGCTAAGGCAATTCCCCTTTGCTAGTGAAGCAAGGGCTGCCTAAATTTGGAAAAGGACTTACCTCTTCTGTTCCCATGTCTCTCCAGCTGTGCTCCTGTCAGGGGTAGTTTATACACCAGCTCTGTGTGTAGTGCACTGCAATGTCACTTGGAAGCTTTCCCCACTGATGCCGGATGAGCTGCCAGTGTGCTGCAGGTGTTTCACACAAGCAGATGGGGAACTGTGAAAGCAAGGAGGGTCAATTCTTGCTCCACATTTCATTGTGCTCACAGTGGGGTTCACTCTCCTCTTCCCTTTCCCCATCAGATTACATGGAGTTTTCATTTTTAGTTCTACCAGTATCGGTCCTGGGGAGTAGCATCTGCACTGGCAATAAAAAACCGTGAAAAAGTAACCACTGAGATTGCTTAACAGAAAGGAGGATAATTAGTCTTCTAAAACGAAAAGACTTGCTCTTCCTCTATCTATATATCTATATCAAATATAGGCACTCCAGCCCCTATATACATTTCATATAATTTTCTTATAAATCAGATATGTACTGAGGTTGTTGCTGATTTGTTTGCCAGGTTGAGGAGTTAATGTCATACTGCATAAATGGGTCAGTCAGCATAATTGTATTTAGCCACTCATACACCTGCACATGGCTTTGTAGTTTTCCCCCTAAATTCTGTAGCGATAAAGTTGGAGGTACAACTCTATTTTAAACAGTTAATACACGGGACTGAATGCTGAGGCCAATTGATATACTTTTAGTACTCTTTTAAAGTACTTTTTTAAGGTACCTTTTAAGTACTCTTAGATGTACTTTTTCACTTGTTCGCTCCAGCTGCTGTCCTGCCTCCTTGTACTCTGACTCCCTTGTCAGGTTATGTGTGCAGGGTTTCATTTCGGATTGTGTATTATTAGTAAAATTCTTAAAAAGTTGCAATTCATATGTCCAGAGTGCACTAATACAGCCAAAAAAACCCTAATCCTGTTTAGAATTTGGCCATTTACTTCTAAGTATTGAAGGCAAGAATATATTGAAAATATTAAGGTTCTCCTTTTCATTATTCAGACAAACACCTACTGCTTCTTCTGACTTTTTTTCCCCAGTTGTTCTTTAATCTCATTAGCACAGGAAACATCTTCCTATGCGTGATGACTCATATGCTACACCTCTGAAAACCGGACTGTTAGATACAGGTTCCCAAATCAAAATTTGGCTTATGGAAATGCTGTTAACATTGTATCTCAAGAAATATCTAGGCTCAGTTCTTAAATTATGAGCCACAACAGATGATCCTTACATCAGACTGTAAATTGAGTAAATCTGGAAATCTCCTTGAAGTGATAGTTATGAAACACTAGCTTAGAGAGGTAAAATAAAAGTATGCTTGAAATATTCTGTAATGTGGAAAATAACAAGTCCCTGCAGCTCTAATAAGAAGATGTGATAATTCTATATTTGGGGCTGCTGTGGGTTCTGTGTATTAAAAGTTTATTTTCCTAATCAGAGAACTTAGTATGATTCAGTATAAACATTGGAGAGGATCTCTTAAGGAGGGTGTATCTTCTAACTTGTCACTTTTCCAACTATAAGATAAATTAGAACTACTAATGCCTTGAAAAAGACCACATGTTGTTGTTCAGATGGAGAGTTTGTATCTGTAAGAACTGTAATATTCTCTGAGGCAGAGAGGGGACATGATGGAGAGGACCACCCAGAGAATTCCTGATCACTGTAGGGATTAGGAGAAAAAGTATCCAAAAACTAGCAATATCTTGGGAGCAAATGGTGTGGAATGCAGAAAAAAATTGTCATAACAACTCACTGTGTCTCTAGGAGACGATTCAAACAACATGTAGAAAAAGATTATACAAATCAGATCAACTAATAACTACTTTTTTGCCTGACTTTAGGTCAAAACTTCCTAGTTTATTTGATAACATAATTAATTCCTGAGATGTTAGAATTATGGTTAATTTAAAAATACCATCAATTTTAAAACTCCTAAATAATTGTTGCAAATAATAATAAAAAATTATTTCACAGATTTTATACCACAACAAGAGCTTATGCAGCTTTCCAGTGTGGTATTGAGAAAGTTGTTTTAATAGCTAATAGAGAACTCTTAGTTTTCTTATTTTAATTAAGTGGGTTATGCAGTTAAGTATTAAAGGGAACCCATACATATTTACAGAAGGTAGCCAGACCTGTAGACCTGTAAAATTAAATGCACATAACTTAATGAAAGGCAAAGATAAGCATATGTTCAATATTTTCTGAGATTATGTCTGAGACTGCCAGTCATGAATTGTCTAACAAAACACTTAATTTTGGACATGCTCTTTTAAATTGTATTCCAGTGCTACACTGCTGTTGAAGCTTTTTTAACTATTTAAAAAGAAAAGATGTCTTATCGTAACAACTTTCCTGTTGCATTAGAGCAAAACATAATTTAAGGGTTAACAAGTGTCAAGAAGCTGTGAATTTAATACAGGTAGAAAGAGACAGATACAGGGAATACAGTGTGCCAGGAAGGACACTTTCCATCTTTTGACAAAGCAAGTATTAATACTGTCAGCTGATATGGTGAACCTGATGGATGAGCAGCCTAACCCAACATTGCAAACATGAGTTCCCTTCCAAGTTATATTGTAGGGGAAGTATCCATCCTAATTTGTTCAACTTGTATTTCAGAGCACAAAGAATAAAATAGTTATTCTTCCTTTTATGAAGACCACTGTGATATATTGCATCTGAGCAAATGCTCAAAACCAACTTACAGATCCCTGTGAGCATAAATTTAATTGATAATGACAATAGATATTACATTGTGTAATTTCACTGAGTTATAATACTGCAGATGGTAACAATTTATTGATATAGCGAAAGAAGTTCATTTAGCATTTACTGCATAAAATGAAGTATCTCTCCATAGTTGCAGTATTTCCTAATGTATTCTCCTTGAAATCAGTTTGATATTTCGGAGTTGGGCACTTAAAATGAACAATACAATAAATGTAAGTATTAAATATCTAACTGGCAAGTTAGAGTCATTTTCCATTTAATTTTTTATGATATATTTGTGTTACATTATCAGGGTATGCCTGTGATATTTTGAGGAATGATGTCAGCTTGCTGTGCCAGCTCTGCCTCTGTTGGATCAGAGCCACGGTAGGATGGCCCTCGGAGAGCTAACTCCTTCTGTGTGGCCGTAGGAGAGCTAATTCCTGTTCTGTGGTTCCTGTCTGGCTCAGATAAAGCTCAAATCTGCTTGAAATATACCATGGTGACATATCATCCTCTTCACACTGTAGACCTAGCTCTTGTGGGACAGTCATTACACCTTATTAAAAGAACTTGCTAAAAAATTGAAACCACATCCTTGCAACAGGAGAAATTATGAGGAAAACAATAATATGGAAATCCGAACATCTTCAAAGAAGCGTTATACAGTCACATGTAATATACCTGACCAATGTTTCTTATAAATAGTAAATGTGGTCTCAACAAGCCTATAGCTGTGTTCATGAAAAACCTGTTTTCCTGCCTATATGCAATTTGCCTCTTACTTTCTTACCTTAACTTGAAAGTAGCTTTTTGTCTTCTTTGACAGAGCTACTGCAGTTTGCACATTCATCTTTGAAGCACAAGGCACTCTTGCAGTAGCCTTCTTCACGTTCTGGGTACAATTGACAGCAAAAACCTCAGCATCAGTTTCTCATCAGCCAAAACCAATCTCATTCAAAAATGGTCTTTAAATTTGCTGGCTTGTTCTGTGAAACAATCTGACCAGCTGGCAGTGCAGGTGTTTAAGCGTGAGGACTTCCTGTGGTTTAAGATTTCACAGGCTCCAGTTGGTGCCCCTAGTTACTTGAGGGTGATGTGGCAACACTGAGTGGTTGCTGATGAACAGGTTTGCAGTGATCATGCCTCTGTTTTCTGTTTTTGTTTTTTGTTTTTATCTTTTCCTCAGGGGAAATCGCTCACATCAAAGAGGTTAACCAGTCTAGTGCAGTCCTACTAAAAGGATCACCTTGTAGCATGGAAGCAGACTCAAATCATTATACATACTTTGTAGCTCACTGATTGCCTGACTCAGAGGACAGTAGAACAAGATGTTGCATGAGCAAGGACCTGACTTGTTTTCTTTTGTGTATACTAAGGCATTACAGACTCCGAGGGACTCTCTAGCCTTTCGATGCCTCCATTTCGAAAACTGTCTGCTCACTTCCTCCTTCATATCAAGCTGGATCTGTGTCTTTTTATTTTCTGCAAGCTCAAGTACAGTGAAAAAAAAGCTTCTGCTAGGCACAGTTTATTTAAAAAAATACGTCAATCAAAAACTGGAAGAAATGTAAAAAATGCATATATTAATAAATATACATATGGCATCACATTTATTGCACAATAAATTAGCACAGAAGGTTTCATTTCACTGATGTATTCACATTGAGAAAGAAAGCCTGTGTCTTTGTCTGTTGTCTGTATATTCTCTGTTAATGTTTCTTGCATTTATTTTTATACCATATTTAAAAAAGAACACCTTTTACTCCAGATGTATTAAAGTTGATCCTTTCTCTGTAAATTTGTGTATGTTTATATTGTTGTTTTATCTTTCATTAAAAGATGCAGAATCTCTTTCCTTTGGGAAGTTTGAGATTTTAATATTGAATCTGAAGATTAGTCAAGAGCAAAATGATCCCCAAAAGTTACACACCTTGTGCTTTCTAAAAAGGTGACATGAAATGGCATTTTCTTTCTCTCAGTGACACCTAATCAAGCACACTTTATTGCTAATCATTTACTTTTTCTTTTCTCTTTATCAAGCTAGCAGCAGAGAGATTTTCCAGCTTGCTCATCATCTCATAAGCAAACCTTTCTTGAAGCTAGACCCATTCTATAATAGTACAGTCTGCGCAGCAATTCAGTCGCTACCCCAGACCAGATGAACTGAACTGCATTTCCTTAGGAACAGACATGAAACAATTCTGCCCAAGAACACAAGAGTATACTTGCTGAATAGGAAGGGCAGTGTTTCTTTCTTCTTGTTGTCACCTGTGATACAAAGCAACATTTTAAGCTGAAAAGGTAGTACTAAGTATACAGTCTGTAGTGTAAACCTCCAGTAGTAATGCAGGAGGCTATCATTTTAATTCAGGGGCTCTGTTTGGGTGTGCTGTTGTACGTCCACTGCTGAGGTTACTCACGCAGAGTTCTGTTGACAGGTTTATGAGCGCATGCAGATGTTGCCCATGAGACAGCAGATATGGAGCTTCTGAAGCTAATCTGAGCTGGAACCAGAAATCTCTGCTCAGCCTAAAAAACAACACTTTCAACTGATAGAGGTGGCATAAGGATACTGGTCAGAAATTCTGAGTAGAAAAGCAAAGATGGGAACTAAGTCAAATGATAAAATGCTGATACCTCCAGGGCATCATAGGGCGCACAGGACAAACAAGCCTTTTTAGCAATGCACAGAATAGACTCAGGAAAGCCAACTCTAGTACCATCTGTCATGATGACTTTGGTTTGATATTGAGAAATGCAATCTTGTTTTGAAGGGACTACCGACCCTAAAAATGTGCACACACACACACACAGTGGGACAGTCATAGATACAAGCAGACAATCAGTTTGAATGCACTAATACCGGAGTAATCTCATTTAACATCCGATACCTGTCTGCATTGTTGCCACTAAGGACAGGACTCCTGCACAGACCAGCAATGGGCAGAAGGGAGTTGAGCTACCTTCTGCCTCACTTCTCCACTGGCTCTGTCAGTAGCCTTGTGCAGCCGTAGCCATGAATGCAGCATCTTTAAAGAGGCAGTCTGAGTGAAACCAGTACAAAAGGCATTATAAATCACCATGAATGGCTTTTCTCCATGTTCTGCTCAGATGAGGTTTCTTGAGGTTTGGGATTTCTGTTTGTTCTTTGTTTTCACATGCCACTGTGTTTCTGGTTTCTAGATAGGATGACAATCACTGCTTTAAAGTGTCTCCATTTTTGTTAGCACAATTCTACTAAGGTTTTATGGAAATGCCCCAGAGTTTGATTTTATCAAGAGCTCCATCTAGGTCAACTTAAAATGTTCAAAACCTAGGGAGGTCAGATGAATTTTAATAAACAGCCACACTGAATCCCAGATCTTAAGCTTTGAGATTTAATTTTACCACAGAAATGTGAGCTCTGAGGCAATGAACTTGGGGCCAGGCAATCAACAGAAATTTGAGCTCTGTTTCACTTCTCAGTGCCAAATAGAGATATTTATTTCCAAACTCCCACTGCCACCAATTGCATCGACTGGTATATTGCCTGCTTTGCCTTCACAGTTAACCAATTAGATACCAGTGTTTGCTTCAAATAATGACTTCCTTCAAATAGCTAACATTTCAAATTCAAGCATTAGGCATTTCATGCAACTTCATCCTAAGAATTTTTTTTTTAAATCACTTTGCAACACTAACTGGTTGATAAAAAGATGTGGAGCATTTGTATTCCTGAACCCATTCTGTATTTATTGTAGTTCTTTCCTGTCATAGTTTAGCTCCAGCTAGCAAATAAGTACAACACAGCTGTTTATTCACACACTTGTACCTCCAATGGGATTGGGAGGAGAAGAGGAAAAAGATAAAACTCATTGGTTAAGATAAGAACAGTTTAATAATTGAATTAATTTATAATAATAATAGTAATCATAATGAAAATGAGAGAGGGAGGAATAAAAGCCAAGACAGACAAGTGATGCACAATGCAATTTCTCACCACCCACTGACTGATGACAAGCCTGTTCCTGAGCAGCGATCATGCCCTCCTGGCCAACTGTACCCAGTTTATATACTGAGCATGATGTTCTGTGGTATGGAATATCCCTTTCACCAGCTGGGGTCAGCTGCCCTGACCATTCTCTCTCCCAGCTTCTTGTGCACCTGCTCCCTGGCAGAGCATGGGGAACTGAAAAACCCTTCACTTAGGGTAATCCCTGCTCCACAACAGCGAAAGCATCAGTGTGTTATCAACATTATTCTCATACTAAATCCAAATGACAGCACTGCACCAGCTACTTGGAAGAAAGTGAAATCTATCCCAGCCAAAGCCAGGACATTTTTTTTCAATAAATATGAAGTCTGTATTGAATGGTTGTCTTTCCCTGTTTTGCCCAGGATTTAACGTGATGATTGTAAAGTAAAACCAAGCACTAGTAATAAGGATTTCAAAGTAGTCAGGGAGCAGTATTAAGGTTTCATTTGAGCTTAGTTCCAAGTGATACAACTCCACCATCACACATGAATGAATTTGGCCCAAACAAGATCAATCCTACAACTAGATGATTTTTAAAAGGTTTATCTGCAATGTTATGATGCTTTATCTGTTCACTGTCATCTGCCATTAGAATAGACTTGGACTGGAAACTCCAAGTGGCACAAACTTCCTTTTACTTACCCACAGAGAAAACCTAAATGTTTGTTTCCAAATTTCACAAAGATCCACTTCAAAGAATTAAGATTAACTCAGATTAAGGTATGCTTGTACAATGACCAAATAGCTGAAGTATGACTGGTTACACAACAATTTACCATTAGGGATTTCATTGAGGCCACAAATCTGTAGAGAAATAAAGGACCAAGAGCGAAAATCCATATGAAGAGACCGTATTTCTTGTCTTCTAGGGAAGAGCCATCAGTCAGTGCCTCCTGACTCTGTCCAGGAAGCTGAAAACACCCTCATGTGAGATATTAATTGCAATATTCCTTAAAATAACCCCTTGGAGCTCAGAACTTCCATCTGAGACTTGGGCTTCATTAGACAGTCTCTCTTCTCATGCATCCTTGCTCATAAAACAGCTCTTAAGCCTACAGGGGAAAGAAGTGTTTGATGGTGCTGCTGTACACTTCAGACGGTTTTGTGCTCCCAGACCAACCTGTGAAGAAAAATGGCTGGCGGGAGAGGGAGAAGCTATCCTGGCACCTAACTGACAACAGCAGAATATTTGCCCATTCTTCTGTGAGGTGCAATTAGAAACTGTTCTTCAAGCCTACAAAACCAAAGATGGATGAAAAAGGTCTTAAAACAGTGATAAATTGTGAAATGCTAAGCTGAAACAGTAGTGGAGACTGGCCAAAAGTTAATGAGCTGAAGGTGAATACAAGACTAAGAAATAGGAATTAATTGTTGTGACCAGAACAGAACCGACAAGGGAGGAGTACTGGAGAGCAATTAGGAGCAAGAGAGGCAGAATGAAGCTGGTGGATTGCCAGCCTGTTGGCCACAGTCGTAGTGAGTTGGAATTAAAACCCGGGAAATCAGGCAAGATCAACTGTGACTGGTCTTTTAAAACACAACAACTACATTTTTTTTCAGCTAAAAAGCAATAATGTACAAGCAATAATACCAAATTTCTGGAGTTGCCTTTTTCAAATTGCACCTCTAATATTGTCTGAAATCATGAGACATAAATGCCAAATAATCCCCTAAGAAATAACAAATAGGAGGGCAACAACCAGCACCAGAAACAAGACCAAAGCGAGGAATGCATTTAAGATGTTTATTTATTTAAAAAAAAATTAAAAAAAAAAATTAAACCAAAGTAGACCAGCAAAGGGAGAGAAGGCTGTTTTCTATAGGTAACTGGAATTAGGAGTTGGGAAAGCCAGTGATTTATTTGTGGCTCTTCCAATTATTTATTTTTATGCATAGTGAATAACAGCTGTTTGAATTTATATTTTTAAATTGTCATATTTTTTATGTCCCTTCTAGCTGAAGATTTTGTGCATAGAACTAACACTGGTCTTATTAACATAGGTGCATAAAACACAGGAATTTTACTAAAGGAAATTTAATAGCTACAGGGACTTAAATAAAATAAGGCTCTAATTCCAACAAGTTCAAGGGAAATTATCAACAAATTCTTTGAACATATTCTGTGTCCACAATTCATTTAAGCAAGTTGCTAAGTGGTTGTGACTCACACCAGTCTGCTGTTTGATCTCACTGCTGAACAGACTGCTTTTGTCTCCTGAGTTGAAAATAGGCGGAAGTCCCAATATTAAAGAGGTGAAGTGGAAGAGAAGATGATTTCTCTGAGACTGGATTCCCCCTCCTCATGATATTTCAGACTGGGGAGTCCTCAAATGACATGTGTACAACTAAATGGGTTTTGTTTTTATAGACATCGACTGGAGGGCTGCAGAGTCTCTCCAGACAGTCATTATCTCTACAAAGAAAACTACAAACTTTTTTTTTCTAATATCTAAACTAAATCTTTGCTTTGATTTATCCCTTTATTTTTGACCAGGCTGCTACAGTCACTATTATAATATGTTCCCAACATAAATGGACATTTTAACATTACAGTCTCCTTTGGTTTTCTTACTGGTGTTTTCTGAAGTGCTGAGTGACTTCATCGCTCCAACTTTCTTGGAGGATGGTGCCCAGATCCCTTGCAATCTAACGTAGATGATCATTCCCCTTTGTGTATAGCTGACTCTTCTTGGGTCAGTCCATCAGTTATCATCCTCATTTTTCAGACCATCTTTATCTTTTCCCAAGGGTAATTTTTTTTTCATTCTACCTGTACAATACTTGCAGTCCTTTTATATACAGGTATCTTTATGTGTGGGTGAGAGTGAGGAATCTGCTGGCCTGATTCTTTAACACAAACACTTGAATGAGAGTGAGTACCATCATCACTATTTGCTGTAAGGGATCTGTATGTGTAAATTGTAAAGAAAAATTGTCCTTATAATAAACTCTGAGAACCTGCTCAAATGCTAGATGATAGTCCTTATTTACAAGTGTGAACATGGACAGTAAATATCAAACAATATTAAGACACGATTGTAAATGTTACCTTGTTAGTGGCATTTGCACAATTTTTATTGTATTTTTTCTTTGCTCCAAAAATATATTCTGCTGCACTCACCTTCATTGGCTCTCTTTTTGATTTGACTAGATTTTGAAATCTCTTGTTAGATTCATCACAGCTGTCAGCTTTCAAAAGGGGTACTATTTCCCACCCTTCCTCTTAACCTTGCAGCTGCTCCTTCAGCACGCGTATCACATAAATGAGGCATTTCATTATGCATTTATCTTGTCTATCCATCTTTTTATTCCTTTACCCCTTTCCCTTAAAAGATGAGTGGAAATGGCATATTTAATGTAACTTACTTTTCTACCTTTTCGCTGAGAGGAATGTGTAACCTGAAATCTATGACCTTTTTTCAGTTAATCTCTTTTGATGCACTGTTCTTTATAGAAGTTTTCTTTTAGATTCTCTTTCTTCTCTCCCCCTCCCCCTCAGGAACATCTTTTTTAAGATTCTCTGTCTTTTATGGTTCTTTTCCTTTGTTCCTCTGATCTTTGCTCCATTGATCCCTCCCTCATGGTCTTATGGTGCCCACTAATGCTCTTTATATTCATCTTCTCTGTTCCTTCTTGGAATTGAAAGAAATTAGAATAAAAACAAGCAAACAAACAAAACAAACCAGAAATTATTAAAGGAAAGGCAGACCAGTGGTAGGGCAGGGGCTGATGCAGGTGCAGAAACTGCTTCTGACTGTGGTCAGATCTCAGGGGACCATCCTGCTCCCAGAAGTCTGCCTCTCTCGTTCCCCATCCTGTTCTCATCAGCTCACTCCTCCTCCTCCAGGCCACTGCTCTCCCAAGCTGATGGAGAAGGGACATGGGCAATGTCCTGGGGGGCAGGGTGCCTGTGCGGGGGTGTTGTTACATAGTAGGGACATCCTTCCTCACCTGGTGGGGAGGCATCACTGGGAACTTCAGGAGATATGAGGGAGGTGAGTTACTCCTTTGCTTAGGTGCATTGAATGGAGACAGGCAAAAGGAAGCCTGGGTGTGTGACTCCTCTGGTGCCCAGGACTGAGGGAAGGAAGGGGACAGGTACGTGGGTCATTCACTTCCATCACTTGAATTTGAAATAAATCAGGAGCTTAAGTTTCTTTCATGGGAAGACTGATGTGAGGGTGTCCACGGAGTGATGCAGAGTGTCTGTCTCTTATCAAAGAAAATGTCTGTGGGAGGAAGGAAGATTAAAGCCCAAGACTAGGAAATACTTTAAGTCCTGGTCCATACTGGTCTGGGAGGTTAGCTCCAGGGAAGCCAATGAACATGCCTAAAGAAACTGATGTGCCTAAATCACAGGTAGAATTTTTTGGGGAGGAGACACAAATGTGGAATTTCATCAATGGATAGAGTAAACTGCTGAAGATAAAGTTCAGACAGTTAGACATGCTCAAATAATGAGGGAATTGGTTTCCAGAAAGTTGGTTTTAGGGAACTAATAAGTTTTTTAATTCCTTAGTGATTTTGGTTTACTCCATTTCTCCTTCCTCCAACCCTCTTGAAGTAGTTCAGCCACCTTTCTGGGTCCTTGACTAGTAAGGTTTTGCCTTCTCTCTCTTCCCTTGATTTCCTTCTCAACTGTCTTCCTCCTCCTTGTCTGTCAGTGTTGGAAACCTTGGCATAAGGGAGTAGCTGCAGCTGCTCTCCCACCAGTGCATTTGTGTACAGGGGAGAATTTTCACTTCTATCTTTATTTTCTTACTGTAATCAAAAATTGAAACATCATACTTTTATTTTGCTCTAAAGGGCTTCTTCCCAATATACTTCCAGCCATACAGACCCATATCATCTACTTTTTCTGTATACTTGTGTATTATCAACACTCAGATATTTTATGGGAAAAAAAAATTAAACCCCCCCCCAACCAACCAAAAAGCCAACCATGAAAGATAAGAATTTTATATATTTCTTCTGCTGTTGGTCAGAACAGAGTGTAACAACAGAAAAATTGTTTTCTATTTGAAACCTGCTTGAACTCCATTGCTGTGTTAAAACTGCACTTTGGGATTCCTATCTGACAGGAATGCTGAGCATCTGCAGACCTTTCATTGCCTCAGTTGGCATCTCTCACTGTTTTTTACCTGCCCCAAACTCCCAGCATATTTCCACTGAAATCAGAGATGTGAAACTGCTAAGACTGGATTTAAAATGTAATTACCTTTTTAGTCAGAGGTACCATTGTGCTTGCTAGCTGGATATCAGTGGTGGAATCTCTTTGATACAGTAGAGTGGGCTTGGGGTTTTTTGAAAGATGGTTTGGATTTCTCCTGCTACTTCTCCCACCCCAGACCACAGCATGTGCTGGGAATACACCTTTGTTTCTAGAAAGATTTTGAAGACAACCTCTTTCCACCAACAGTATGGACTAGGTGGAGTGTCGTTTAAATGAGAAGGAAAAAAACAAGTGTTTGCAGGCCAGAAGACCTAGAGGAATATGAGAGAGAGAGAGGAAGGAGTGATAAAAAATACATATAAAAACACTGCTGCTTTTATTTTACATCTAAATAAAGATTTTTGAATATGCTACCTTAACTGCATTGTGCTAAAAAAAAGGAGATGCTGGAGAAGAAAAAGCCTATCCATGCCCCACATAGTGAAGAATTCTGATGTTGCCTGTAGAATCAGCTGCATCCTTTTCAGTTCCTGAAAGCTCCTGCACCAGGATGGAGCTCATTACTCCTCATTATTGAGGCCTCGCCATCTTGTGCATGCAGCAGCAGCAGCAGCTGCCTCCTATTTCTTGCTCTGCAGAGAAAATCTGTCTGCAGCAGTCAGCATCAATCGTTCATGTAATGCAGAAATGGTTTCTTTTTACAGGTCACTCCCCTGGATGCTCTTACTTTCTGTTTTATTGGTACTGACACGGTAGGATCAGCATTGCCAGTGTATCAGCACTGATCTACACTACTGCTGCAGTTTTAATTCTGCTATGGAAAAAAATGTGTAATCTGAATGGTACTACTTTGAATTGTGTAAAGTTGACTATGAAAAATATTTATTATAGAAACTTACTGGACTTTTTTGGTATTCATTACAGTCCATTCTTTGAGAAATCTAAACAGAGCATAAAATCAGAAACAAAGGAAGGAAGACAAAGCAATTTCCTTTACCATAGTAGAGCAAACTAGTTTGGTGGTCTTAAAAACCTGGTGATTTATTTTTTTTTTCCTTTTTTCTCCCCAATTGTTCTGAAATGACCGTATGCCTCTTCTTTCTGTTTGATGGTCTTGGTTTTCTTCCGTGCCGAGTCCTGCTGATGTATGAGCTGAGAACTCATCGATATTCATCTGAAACAAATAAACCCAATATTATGTTCCTCTGCTGCAGTGACATTGGAAGTCGCTGGGCAGCAATCCTCCCAGCATCAGCAACTAAAGAATGTGCCAGGTGCGCGCAGCACAAACGCCCCTCACTCACCGCCGCTCGGGTGCGGGGGCCGGGGCCGGGCGCTCCCACGGCGCGGGCGGCGGGGCAGCAGTGACACCTCGTGGGTGCGCGCAGGAACCACGCCCGGACGGCGCCCGCGCTGATCCCGCGGCCCGAGGATATTATTTCGGCCGGGGGAGGGCAGGAGCCCACGTGTGGCGAGCGGGCAGCGCCCCTATGCCAACGCCTAAGTCTGGATCCTGCCCTCGCTCACACGAACGCTCCCTGTCCGCGTCCTCTGTCAGGGGACAAACGAACCAGCTTCCGTCATATCCCAACACAAAGACCATGGAATATTTTTGTTAGGTTATGCCTGAGGACGAGAGTCCTTTTAAAGACGATTCCTGGGAACCAAAGGTGCTGCACTACAAGGAATTCCTTCTAGGACGTTGGGGTCTTATCAAAATATATTTGGCTTGTCAGGAACTGACTTCAGTAACCATGGGCACTGTTTTAAAGAAAGAAAAATCAGAGCACTGCGCAACCAAATACAAAAATAGCCCCAAAGGAAGAAGGAACAGTGGCAGCCACAGAGCAAAGCCAGTATATCAAGGTCTGATTTGACTCTGGAGACATGCAGAGGCTGAGGGTTGATGGAATAACTAGTTCTACTTCTGCTTCTACTAGTATCATGTCCCTGGGAGGAAACCGCAGCAGAGACCACCCTTCCAGCTGGCAGCCCCCAGGGAAGGGGGATTGGAAGTCATGCATGGGAGCGCTCATCCTGGTTGTTCGTGTTTTCTTCCAGGACAATGAGATTTTGGTCCCATGATCTGTAAGCAAAGAGGCTGGTCAGAAGGAAATCCATTGCCATCTACTACTGGTTTTAGGGACAACCTCTTGGTGAAGGCCAAAATATAACTGGTTAACAGCTGCCAGACTGCAGCAGTACAGTTTGTATGTGTCTACATGCTTCATTTGTTATCTGTATCTTGATAAGAATAAGAAACCAAATCTGAAAACTGTGCCTGATGTGGAGGCTCCCACCTCCACATCTGTATTGATTTTGGTCTGCATTTCCCCTCTTTTCCAGAGCCTCTAGTCCCTGTAACAAGATTGCTGATAAACTCTGACTCTATATTTCAACCTTTTTTATTTCATAGTTTTATATATTCCATTCTATCTTTACCAAAGGACCCGCACTCTGTCTGTGAGGACATCAGGCTAACCTGGAATAAGCAACCTAATAAACTCAGGCACTGAACTATTTTGGGGAGGTTTTTCTGTGAAGAATTGTGTATGAGGGGATCTACTCTTCAGCTTTAAAAACCAGAGGATGAAAGAAATGCTTTTTCTCCATTAGTAACAGACAACTAACTTTGATAATATAATGTTTAGTGAAAAATATATTAGGTATTTGTGTGCAATGCTGATTTATGTCTGAGTGAATATTATGGAAAACAATTGTCCTGGCTTTAGGGAATGGAGAGAAAGTTCACCTTTGCTTGGATATATAGCACTACCCTTTGGGATGGTGTCATTTGATAATTCCTGCCACATGTTCTCATGCGTAGGATGTTTTTGTTTCCTTACTGTGTCTCCCCTCAAGTCCTGCTGGGTAATATTTCAGATGGTCACGGTCAAAAAAAGCATGTGACAACTTCCAGATGTTCAAATAATCAAAGCGATCTGCAGATCTAAGGGAACACACCAACAAACAAATGAAGGATAACTTAAAGGGCTGCAGTCTAGGTGGGGGGTCACGTTCAGAGGTGGCGTAACAGGCTGAAGGGTAGTCTTTTAATATCTGAAGAATTCACTGATGTCTAGATCATTTGCTAAAAATGAGATAGTCTGATGATGTGGCTGGGCAGGCAGTAAAAACCTAAAACGTGGAGTCTGGTTGTGGTTTTCCCACAGCTTGGAGCAGAGTTGGCTTCCCCAGGGACCTAGGAAGGCTCTCACAGTGCAGCATAGCTCTGAGCTGAGCTGGCTGCTGGGCTCCAGCTTGAGTGATGCATCTGGGGCTTTGAAACATGACCATGCCCTGGTGTCAGCCACACCACCACTTCATCTGGGGCTGTGTCCTCACTGAGCTGGTGGTGCTCTAGACTGTGCTGTGTTCAGCTGGGAGACGGGAGGGCACAACTCAGAGCAGGGAAACTCCCCTGCTTCTGGTTTGCTCCTACCTGGCTTTTATAGGCACCTGTTTGTGTACTAGTAGCTAGTTCTAA